AAAACGGCATGGAAACGGGTGCCTCAGAGAGTTCGGCATGCCGAAATATATTTTGGCCTATGACTTATCGGAGTAATTTACCTCAAAGCGTATCGTTAGCCGAGGGCTCACTAGGAGCTGCCGTCATTCGAAGCTGACTTGAACTTTTATCACATGTGACAGAACTGTTTAGTCAATCACCTTTTTGTGACCGTAACAAATATCTTCATTTGTTTGCGAAATTACTTAGCGGATGGATGCTGCGACGATGAAAGTTTTCAAAAGTTTAATATGTGAATAAAAATATGTGAATAAAAATCATTTTCATGAAGGAATATTTTGGAGCAAAGTCAAATATGTAAGAATTACAGTTTGAATTCAACGAAGAATGGATCTTTCATTCGTTGTAGCAAAAAATCTTAGTTAGTTCATTTGAATATTTGAAAAGCAAATTCATTGAATGGGGACCAAACTCAGTTTCATTGAAAATCGTAAGACGAGTAGCAGTTCACAAATGACGTAATATCGATTCTGAGGATTTGGAGAAGTAGTATACTTCCTCAGCAAGCTCGTATTCACAAAAGGATATCCGTTTGCAATGTTCACCGATGAGAATCACTGTAATCCAGAGACTTTACTCTACTGAGTCAACATGAAAAGCCATACCTTTTTAAAATACTAATGCTGATGTATCTCAGTTTAACTCAGTGAATTTCTGTTTGGAATAAACATGGCTGATCAAGACCAATTATGTGCTCTGAATAGCTGAGCTACAAGCAAATTGCCTTGGTTTCCCACCCTGAGCGTGGTTGATCCTTACTGTCATTGCAAAAGGCTTAATATTTAGGTTTGGTTCTGCATCCAGCAGGTATTTCTGAATTAAAGTATATGGGCAACTGACAGCTGTGGGCATACCATGTTTCATGACATCAATTTTGTGCACAAGATGACCTTCTTCGGTAGCCAGCCATTCCGAGAAGTAATTCCTTTGCTACTGGAGGCTATTGCCCCTAGTGACACACACCTGTGCGCGGACGAAAACAATAGCTAATCCTGTTCTAAACTGATCGGTGAAAATTTTAAAGGATTGTATTAGGTCAACCTTGTTTTTTCGTTGTAACTGTGAGGAAGTGATTAGGTTCATTTATTACTACCAGTAATTATTCCTTCTCTGCCAGGTAGCATACCTACTTGTCGGTCTGTGCGAAAATTTACAAAAGAATGATTCCTTACTGGTTTAAACACTACAATATTTTCCTAATAATAGCCTAAAATACTGATTCTAGGATCATAAAAAGTGAAATAAAATGGAATTTTCAGAACATTCATCAGAAAACGGGGTTTTCGAACTTCTTATTCCCATAGATACATGTCAAATACAAATGGTTTTGATTGTTCATCTTTTTCCACAATCGCGGTGACCGATCTATCCTCAATTGTTCTCTAGTTGTGCTTTTTTACCGAAATCAGTGCCTCAAAAGTTATGCGGATCTGAAGAAGAGAGACGGCTTCCACACAATAGCTAAATACACCGATCAGCCTGGATGAAAGCTGGTTTTGTGCAATGCAGCTCCATTTCAATTTATGAAAGGTCAAGCTGATAACCACCTGGTCCGAAAGAAATTAAATAATTTAGGAAAATACCAATGAGCAACAGTTAAAGGTCTAGTAATTCGACTGGGAGATAATCCATTGTGGATATAAAAGACCGATTAAAGCGTAGTACTCAGAAGTTGACCTGAAATGTGATTACAATCGCAACCTCATTCACACAATAATTACATCGCGAAATGCAACCACTAGACGGTAGACTGGTAAAAGACTGAGAGCACCTCGTTTGCGAATGTAGTTGCTGTTTTTGATTTCCTTTGGAACGGTCTCAACTACTCATCTCCTAATTGTTTTCCTGATTTAAAATAGTTTAGTTCACCTTCAGTCCTTGTTGTAGTTAAACAGCAGTTGTTATTGTCTTTGTCTTCGCTAAGTACCATATGAAAATTTTTGAATGAGATTTTTTCGGAAAAACATAAGTTTGTAGAAAGGTCTTGTTCCTGCTTTATCAAACCGTGCTGAAACCTAGCTGGGACGAGAACCGCATCTAAACTCTTGAACACACTACAAAAATGTCTTCTTTTGTCCGTTCGTGAAGGTCACCATGCTAATGAATGTAGCTGTTGTGTGACGCCATCGCTCAAAAACCACCAGAGGTACCTCCCTCGTTGTTCAGTATGCTATGCTCACAGGTAAAAGTTACACGTTTTTTAACAATATATTATTCCGAGAAATTTCTATATTGCGTTTTTGGTAGTTATTGGTTTGCGTTCAGAACCAGGTAGCACATAATATTCGATATATATCTGAGTGAAAGCGACTACTCTTATTCTTCATCCATTTAGAAGGTCAATATATACACATATATATATATATAATAAATTATAAGGGACTTATTTTGAGTTGCAATCATCGGACTCTTGGGAGACACTGTGTATGTGTGAGTTACATACTGTTCAAGAAATCAGGTGCACTCGCCGCGATGCACAAAACGGTCGTTCGCATACATCAGATGCGTTTTCAGTTGCGCAGGGAGAGATACTGAGTCAATAAAGTAGTTACAAAAAAAGACATTTTCCCAGTGAAATGCGTGCAGTTAGAAAACGTGTAATAAATACTGGGATACAAGGCACACTTTGTAAGGTATTAGGTCTTACTCAGCTTCACTACCTTAGTAAAGTGAGTGCTTTGAGTTACCTAAAACTTATTACATTCGTGTCTTTCATTTTGTGGTACGGAAAATCATGGTAAACATAAACTGTATCCTTTGCACAACTTAGTCCAAATGACTGCGCAACCCGACACGTAAAACTGTGGTAGCTCACTAACGCACTGCCACTGTTTGTGACATCATATCTATAACGAAAGGGAGCATACTTTCACAGATATTGCTCAGTTTTTGAGATAAGTCGTTTTAAGTTTATCACCCGTGAATTCACATTTTAAATATGCGAATGATATAGCCATTTCTGTGTCCGTAGCTAACCGATCACAGCTGTTTGAAAATAACACAAACCTACCTCACCTCGTTTAGCATTTCACTTCATCCGGTCTTAATCTTACTCTCGAAAAATACCTTGAATACATTTTCCCTAAACAGGTTACCATCTTTCTCCAACAATGCACAGATTGATTGAAAGCCGATGTGTATTAGTTAGGTGTCACACTTGGGACTAACCTTCGCTGGTTCTTACAGACCCAAAGTGTTGCTCGTAAACTGAAAGTTCTCCCTTTTCAGATAAGAAAGCTGCGCCACTTCTGTTCTGATTAGTTGATGATAGATGCCTTTGTTCAACAGTGTGTTTTCTCTACACCTCTTTACTGCTCCCCTGTAAATTTCCCTGGTTTGCTGAAGCCTGAGTTCAAGTCACTGAGGCATGGTCTCTCAATGATCAACCGTGTCTCCGAAGTTCCGTTAACTTTTCTGATTGACAATATGTGTAATGCCCCTATCGATGCGTGCTTGAAGTTTGCTGACGATATCCTATCTGATAGCATACATTCTTTACACATTGACTTATGTGCATGTAAATCCCACCCCTCCACCCGTTCTAAGTACAAACTTATCCCGTCTCGCATATCCGCATACAGAAACTCTTTGGTACCCTATTTTGCCCGGATACTGACTGACAAAGAAAGTGTCCGCTTTGAGCTTTCTAATGCATTTAGTATTTAAGTCATATTTTTGTACGTTTTACGTACCACTTTGTCACCTCTTTTTTACTACGATTGCAACGGTTGTCTACTTTTTGGCTGAAAATTGTATGTAACACGCTTTAACTTCAATACAATACAATACAATATAATGTCAAAACATTAACAGATATAGGGGAAGCGTCATACAGTTTACTTCTTCATTTGAAATAAATCTTTGTAAACTCGATCTAGTGTTCATTCACTACATATATACACCTACAAAACAGACGCAGAAATGAGTATTATGCTATGTGGTTCACAGATCGGCTGCACATTTATATGTAAAGCTATTTCCCTGTTTGACGCATCAAGCTCTGGGAACACCAAACCGCTATAAACTTACGCTTCAGCGATTCGCATTTACTGTTTCATCGTGAATATTTTATGGCTACGTTCTGAAAACAAACCCATTATTTCAAGCAATGCCTAATCATTTTTTATCCATTCATTTTTTGAATTGTTTATTCACTGTATGATGGCACATATGAAGTTTAAACGCAAAACTGGTCAGGAAGAGGCCTGCCACTGAAGAGAAATCTACCACACAAATGTGAATTGATCTCGTTGATTGATGGAACCAATTTCCAGGCAATAGTTCATTTATATTCGATGCAATGTTTGCATCTTTCTAAGCAGCAGAATCGGAATAAATTCCTCTACATAATTAGGTGAAGAAAAGAAAAAGGTAATGTATCCCAATGAGAAATGAAGTTTACAGTTGTTGTCCTCACAATCACTACTTTGCTACTTCATCGAACTTATTTGTTTTATTCAACTTCTCAGTGACTACGTTTGTTGTACATATTTGTAAACTGTTGGAAATTCACCGATTTAAATCACAGAGCAATTCTTATACAGACCTAATCGGAATATCCTGCTAATGAAGTTTTCTGCATGATAGTTCAACTAGGGCAATAAATAGGCTTCTGCAGTAATGCAGTTGAATACATTAGGTGATCACGAAAAGGTTCCCACTTATCACAGTTTCGATTGAGACACAATCTTTTGATAGCGTTGGAAATGCAAGGTGGATACGATTCCCATGAGCTTGAATTAGTATTGATACTTCAGGTGAATAACTGAAACCGGAAGCGCTGTTCGCAGACGTTTCGTAGCCACACTAGTCAAAATCATACGTAAAACGTCGGGGACATCTCCTTATCGATGTGTTATTCATCAATATAAATATCATGGATTGCGTTTGTCAGTCTTTCACTTACATCTATTCTCCAGCCCCGATTGCCAAAGCTTGACGGTCAAACCGCGTCTGACTGATGGAGTCAACAACGACTCACCCGTTGTTCAATTGGGATGTATCCACCGATACACCGGTAACACAAGTGGACAACGATACAGTCGGATGTCGGCCTTTTCCGTTGCTGGAACAGTTCGGTCGTGGGTACGGTCAAATTCATGGCTACGTCGCCCTCATTCTATGCCCCTTGGGTGTCCTCTCCAACATATTTAACGTCATAGTTTTGAATCAACCTAGTATGGTTTCCCCGATCAATTTCCTTCTCACGGCATTGGCTATTTGCGACGGTTTGCTAATGACCTCCTACGTCCCGTTCGCAGCATACTTTCTTGTCGGCAATCATATGACTGCAGCAAGTTACGACTGGGCAGTGTTCATGTTGGTACATATCAATCTGCAAAACCTACTCCATTCAGCTTCCAGTAATATTGTGGTTGTGCTAGCGTCATTCCGTGTCCTATATGTTCGATATCTGATGAGATGTCAGGAGTTATGTTCTATGCGCCGTGCACAAATTGCTGTCATGATTGTCCTGACAGTTAGCACATTGTTGACTATCCCGTGTGCCGTATCCCACCACATCGTTAGGAGTGTTGGAGAAGAAGGCGAATCGCTCAAACCGTCCGAATCATACATGGTGACCTACATTGACAATCCCACCCTCATTGGGTATTTATACTGGAATACCGCGATATTCATTAAACTATTGCCACTTGTTGCGCTCACAATTCTCAGTCTGATCATAATAATCACGATCAAGAAAAAGAATGCGAAAATGCGGCGCTTGAAATCTCCTCGAGTCTGTTCCAGTATTTTATCAGAAGTTAATGTGAATTCATCCACAAACGGGCGCAAACTTAGCGTACCGGTTGACCCTGAAATGGAAACTGTTGATCGTACCCTGCTATCGGCGGAGGACAGCAAACGTGTCACATCCGAGTCCGTCAAACGAACATCCAGTGTGTTGAGTTCTCGACAATCGAGCAGCATGGTGGAACGAGACAAATCGGAGACACGAATGACACGACTGTTACTCACTGTGGTCTTGATATTCATGATAGCACTTCTTCCTCAGGTGAGTCAGTTTGTCAAATTGAAACAAAATTGCTGATAAAAGCGTGTGTTGTTCACCATCATCCGAGCGTTTTATTCGGGGATCGCACAACTAGACGTGGCTTATCTAACCTCAGCCAGTACAGATTCAAACCTAATATAAAGAGGCTGATAGCCAAACATTTGAAGAAGAAAATTAATTGAGTGGATAAAACTGGGCAAGAACGGTAACTCACCAATGTTAGACCCCATTCGCCGTATTAAAGAAAAATGGTATTCAACGTCTGAATGAAAGAGGAAAAAACGAAGTAAAACTAGCTACGCATTTGAACATTACCACTGCACTGGCCTTTCGCCAACTGAATCAATTTGATCCCGCCTTATTGACTTGTAGCCACTGCTGTGGTGGCGGCCAATCTATCCGTACACAATGTAAGCAAGGCAGCTAGGATGGACCTACGTTGATAATCTGTAAGCAACGAATAATGTGGATTAATCATCGACTAAACGTTTATTGTAACAGTTCTTTCAGTAGCTATAACATTTTTTAAATGCTACTTCTATTCGGTCAGTTTGATAGTGAAATAGTATAATCGAACATTTCTTTTATATAATGGAACAATCACTCAAAACTGAAATCTGTCATGTTCCTGTTGGATATAAGCTATAGAACATCTAAAAATGTTGTCCCGGTGATTCAACTGCAATGTGGTTTCGGGAATTAAGGATATCTGTTTAACGTCTTGGCAACCAGTATGGTTAATTTCAGGGGGGTTACACTAAGGAATAACAAGCATTAACGTCGCGGTTTGCGTCATTTATGCGCTACTCGAGTGAGATATCTGATTGCTCAGTAATCAACTTTTGGCTCGGATTTAAATAGTTGCATTTCCTTTGACCTAATTTTATTTGCCTGCAATAAAAGTTTTTGTATACCTGAGCGCAACGACTGAGCCAGGTAAGAGCACAAAATATCGGATGTCTTCAGACATTCACCGACGATTGCTCTGATGAGAACTGAGAATTGAAAACAAATATGTCAATATGGTGCATTGTTTCTGACGAATTGGTACTGCTTCATGTGGAAGATTCTTCTGTTCGATGCATGTATGTTTAGTAACTTATGTACTTTTTTTCATTCAGTGTAAAGTAAATAAGACAATAATGGAAATTTCCAAAATTAAGTAGATTGATAAATTTTTGGATGCAAATGACTGAAGGAACCGAAAACATGATCCAATAAAGTTAAAAGTTGACATTCGGGTGTGTGTTTCGTTGAATAAGCGTTTCTAACCGGATGAAACATCCAAACGTGCCTAGCACACAGTTGAAGCCTAAAGCTAAATTATTCAAAAGAGATGTATTCGAATGACGACTCAGTTTCTGACTTGTGCAAGTGCTGTGAAGTGGACACAAGACCAGGTTATTGCATAACCAACGGTATCACTCCGTCAAGGTGCAAATAGGAAGACCAAAACTGATAACATCAAAGCGAAAATATAGGATATTTTCCTAGATATGCTGCGTCTGATGTGAGGCATTAGCATCCAATAGGATCCAAGCCCGTGACTGAGACTCCAACGTCAGATTGTTACACGCGTCTGATTCATATCTGTAATTTGAATAAATAGTAATTGAAGGTAAATTATAACTGGCAACAAATGTTTGATTACTAAGTAACCTTATTCAAAGCAGATGTTCAAAGGATTTGGGGTATAATCTCTTCTTTTGAATTCGTTTTTCTTCTCTTAAAATAAAATAAAAGAATAGCAGTGTAATTACAAAATATTCCTTTTGAATAACTGCTTTTTTCGTTTAATTCCGTTGATTAGTTTATGATAAATAAATGTCCTACAGAGATCAGATAAAATATGGATTTATTTGTTTTCGAATATTGCTTTATGCACCAACGGATTTTGGCAAGTTTTACTGGCACCTTCTCTCCATAATTTCCTGCCCCAATTGGTTCAACAGTTTCTAAATTCTTGTCTCTGAACGTTTTCCCTTTTGTCGTACCTCTTTCCCTCTTATATTGTTTTCTGCTTTTGTCTAAAATATGAACTGTCTCTGACCGATTCACGCAGCTTGTATTCTGATTCCCCCAGACAACACTGATTCCATTAGTCATGGCCTAATGCTAAATGGGCGATGTGCTGGGGCTAACAAATCGAATGCATTTAAGTGTTTTCTGTCACTGCTCAATTTCCAGTGTTCTGTCTAAACACATTTCGAAAGAAAGTAATACGTCCAGCCCTATGAGTTCGAACAAAAGGGATTGTATTTTATTTTCTACTAGTCTAATCATAATTCGCGAACTAAGATCATCAACATCACCGAGGTTTTACATAAGCTGTCATTTTGAAAACACAGCGATGTACAGGTACAGGTGAAAAAAACGATGTTTCGGTTACCGTGGGTAACCTTTATCAAGGCGATTTTACACTCGAATGAATCAGAAACAGTTCGCCAAATAACCTGTCACGCATTGTGTGTGTGTGTGTGTGTGCATTTGCATGTACGTCTGTGTCCGTGTCTGTGTATACGTCACTGATCCGGATTGGGCGTTGGGCAAGTCCGTTTGTGCAATGTTTGTCTGTGGGATCGGGCGTTATCTGGGGTCAAATCAACCTTAGGACATGGCGCATCGATTTTCCGATAAACTCCGAAAGTTGTTCGGATCTGACACTTTGAATCCCCGAGGTTTCTTTAGCTTCATACCACACGGTATTCAAGACAACCGGCGTTTAGCTGTATTCGACAGCGACCACTTGAACTGAATGGAATAGTGTAGGTAACGGCTCGGTGTAAGCAAATCATTCAGCTGTTATTCAACATGATGATCGAACGACCGTTAATCCAGTGATACTTATTTAATAAAAGAATATTCTTCATGAATAAATTGAAAACATTTCAGGGGTATTTGTGATTTTAATAATCATTATTCTACCTGTGCCAATTCGAGGTCAGAAAGAAGCGGACATCTGGACAATTTAATTCAGTCATAGATTCTGTGCAACTATGCGAATGCCACTCAGCATTATGCTGATTATACATTAGCGCTTTTTTCTATTTTCAATTGTATTTAGAGGTACTATGGCATCTCTTTTTGGTCTACCATAATGGAGGTGTTAGATTTGAGATTGTTCCGTTTGCAAGCATGCCGTTCGATTGCTATTATATACTCAATAATGCTATAAGAATGTTCCGGTAAACAACATCTTCGTAGGGTCACTTATCTGGTACATGATAATTTCAAACCTGAATCCGTTCAGTGGTGCACCCGTCCAGAGGATCAGTGTGAAATTGTCCGTGTCAAGTGCCATTGGTTTATCACACAACGAATCTAGACAGAATTCCTGAACACACCATAGAACAGACGTCATAGAGGGACAGCAAACCAAAAGAGTCACTGTGCATTGTTATTGCGACCAATCTACTATACTGTTCATAAGCGAGTGCATGAGCACACACAGACTGAGACAACAAAATTCAGTGCATAATATGTTGAATGAAAAACACTGAAGGGCTAGATTTGGTTTGAATTCGGAGCTGGATGTTGTGAAACGTTTTGTTGGTAGTGTGTGAGCATCAGTCATGCGAAATCTGTGCCAAAATATCAACTTTAAATGGTGAAGAGATGTACACAGACTGTCGCTCACCAGTGAATTGTTTAGCAAGAGCCACGTCTCTTTACTTATAAGATTCCACCGAGCACTCCGGATCTTTGCTCTGGAGGAAGACAATCCGTGCATGTTGTAATTCATCAGCCAGCTTATACCAAGTGAAGGGATTTCTGATTGACCAAATAGAGTTTAGAACTGCTCTTCATGTTAAAAAGCACATTTGAATTTACTACTCATTTTGAGTGCCGACTGTCGAGCCTAATCATAATCAAGACCATTTTAGCCAAAATCTAGATGTGGCTGCTCCGATGTTGCTTCAGTTTCCATCGTACGTTTCAATTCCTAATGTACAGGACCGGAAGGATTCAGCAGAATTTTAAAAACTGAGTCCATCGTACACAAAATATTCTCCCAGTAAGTAATGATGTTTCCTGTGTAACTATGGTACAGTCAACCTCCCGCTATGTCGCACCCTTGAGAAGTCGCATTTTCCAATATCTTCCCACTTTTTCGAAAACCCAAACCAAACGTATACGTAATAACGTAGCTTCTGATCATGCAATATGTCGTAATTCCTGATACCTACTCTGCAATGTCGCACTCAGCCAATGGCGTTTCACCTAGTGTGACAAGCGCATGACCCTGTTTACTGTTTATTTGCGAGGAAGACACACCGATGCCAACAATCGAAGATTGCCGCTGGACTTCAAAATGTGCGATCGCCTACCGATCAGAAGATGTCGGAAATGCTGAATCAGCCATGTGCAAATCAGAGCTCCATAACCGAATCACTTAGTATTTCAAGAAAAACTATTTACAGTATTATATCCCATCGAACCACCGTCGTATAACTTGTAAACGCTAGAGTATCTCAGGAAAGATGCTGCCTGAAAACGAACGAAAAGTAAAAGACAGAGAATGAGGCAACCTTGGCTTGGTTTACTGAAATGAGTGAAAAACACATTGGGTTCCCCATAATGGAGAGCATCATTCGTAATTCTGTTAGCACAAAGAATACATCATCGTAACTTCAAGGTTTCCAAAAGTTGATTTCGTTTTTGGTCAGATAGATGTGTTTTTCAATCCTACAAGGTAAGAGACAATTAACTACGCATGAGAATTACTTTATACGTTTAAGGTGAACGTTTGGCAGCGCCACCTGATACAGTGGACGCGTTTCGAGCGGGGTTACCGCAGTTCAGCTATTGATACGCCGACTGTGATATTTGCAATGCAGATGTATTACAAGCATGTATTACAAGCCTCTCCCAGGAAGAACATTGTTTCTCAAAGGAAAAACAGTTTCTCCATGCAAGAGATCCCAAGAAAGAGTCATGTTACTGTTACTTTGTGGAAGGCTATTACCGTTGGTGATCGGAAAATTTCAAACTCAACGATATCTCCTAGGTAGGGATAGAAAAAGCCCTCCTTGCAG